CATGCATGCAAAGGGTGCATGCATGCATGCATGCATGCATGCACAGACTGCATGCATGCACAGACTGCATGCATGCATGCACAGACTGCATGCATGCATGCACAGACTGCATGCATGCAAAGGGTGCATGCATGCATGCATGCATGCAAATGCCGCATGCATGTATAGGCTGCACGCGTGCAAAGGCTGCATGCAAATAAAGGCCGCATTCACGCATGTAAAGACTGCATGCACGCACACATGCACCGCACCCCACACGCATGCATGCATGCATGCACGCACGCATGCATGCAAAGGGTGCATGCACGCATGCATGCATGCATGCATGCATGCATGCGTTGTTGACTGACGACTTTGTCGACGAGGAACTTGCCGGCGAGGGCGGCGGCGAAGCAGAGACAAAAGAAAAGGAGACAGTAGTCCCAGGGGACAGTGCCGCTGATTAGAGTTTTTGCTGCTGCGCTGCTGCTGCTGCTGAGCACTGCAGCAGTGTTGACAGCTGTCACTACAGCTGGCAGCATTCCCCGCGAAAGCATCAAAGGGCCCATCACCATCGAGCCTCCGATCCCCACAATGCCTCCTGACCCGCAAACCCTAAACCCTAAACCCTAAACCCTAAGCCCTACCGGCCCCAGCCGGGCCCTCCAGCAGCAGCACCAGTGGGCGCAGCAGCAGCGGGTCCCGCACGAAGACCAGCAGCAGCAGTAGCAGCAGCAGCACCACGCCTCGCATGAACAGCCGCAGCAGCAGCAGCTGCAACAACGGGCCCCCACAAAGCCCAGCAGCAGCAGCGGCGGCAGCAACACGACCCCACAAAATCCAGCAGCAGCAGCAGCAGCAGCAGCAGCAGCAAGGCGCACCGACAATGCCGGCGGAGATGCTTTGGAGGTAGAACCTGAGGGCTATTCTCTTGGTGAAAATAATGTCTCCTTTGATGTGGGGTCCATTTGCTGCTGCTCCTTTTTTGTCTCTTAACACCAGCATGCAGCCTTGGTAAGCAGCAGCAAGCAGCAGCAGCAGCGCGCCGCACACATACAGCAGCCAGTACTCCCACCCGCAAAAAGGCACCTGCGCAGCAGCAGCAGCAGCAGCAGCAGCAGCAAATGGAAAGCGCCAACAGCAGTGCCTGCAGCTGTGGGCTGCGCCTCTATGGACAGCAGCAGCCGATATGGCGCTGCTTATGCTAACATGCTGCTGTTGCTGCTACTGCTGCTGCTGCTGCTGCTGCTGCTGCTGTTAGAACAGCTGCTGCTGCTGTGGACAAATTGCTCATGCAAAGGCGAAAGAATCGCAGCTGCAGCTGCAGCCGCAACAGCAGCAAATGCAGTCAAGGCGGCAGCAACAGTAACAGCAACAGCAGCAGCAACGGCAGCAGCAACAGCAGCAGCAACAGCAGCTAGTGCAGCAAGAATTGCAGCAGCAGCTGCAGCTTACAATGTGCATCCTGGAGTACTTGTTGCCCCTAATGACAGCGAGGCCCACGTCCGCCAGCCACAAAAACAGCAGCAGCAGCCACTTCTGCAGCAGCAGCAGCAGCAACAGCAGCAGCAGCAGCAACAAACGCAGAAAAGATATAACACGGACTGTCTGGACGAGGTTTGCTCTGCGTAGCAGCAAAGCTCGCAGCAGTAGCAGCAGCAGCAGCCTCAACCGGCAGCAGCAGCCCCAAGCAGCAGCAAGCCCAGCAAGCACTGCAGCCGCAGCAGCAGCAGCAGGAGCAGCAGCAGCAGTGTGTGGCCCTTACGGATAAGGGGCATATTTGCCAGCAAGTCTTCATCTCTTCTTCTGTCTCCTTTTCTGCCTCCATTTGTTTTTCTTCTGTCTCACTTTGTGTCTCCTTAGATCTAAGCTCTTCAGCAGCAGCAGCAGCAGCAGCAGCAGCGGAAACAGCAGCAGGAGCTGCTGCTGCCTTCTCTATTTCTGTTGACTCCTGCAGCGCAGAAGTGGTCGACAGCTGGGCCAGGACACCAGAACTGGCTGCTTCTCGCTGCTGCTGCTGCTGCTGCTGCAGCTGGTGATCAGACTTAGGTGAGGCTTCGTCCTGCTCTTGCTGCTGCTCTCGCTGCTGTTCTTGCTGCTGCTCTTGCCGCCGGTCTTGCTGCTGCTCTTGCCGCCGGTCTTGCTGCTGCACGAGTGGCTTCTTTTCTTGCTGTTTCTGTTCGTGCTCTTGCTGCTGCTGCTGCTGCTGGTGCTGCTGCTGCTGCTGTTGCTCTTGCTGCTCTTGCTGCTCTTGCTGCTGCAGCTCGTGTTCCTCTGCATGCGCCCAGGCCCCGCTGGTTGTGTCAGAGAGGACAACTTGTTCTGCTGAGTCTGCAGCAGCAGCAGCAGCAGCAGCAGCAGCAACAGGATTAGAAGGGGAACGAGCAGCAGCACAAACGGACACATGAAGGCGCTGGATCTACGGGAGGAACGGCCTGCTGCTTACCATTTGCAAGCTGCTGCTGCCTCTGCTGCTGCTGCTGCTCCTCTGCTGCTGCAGCAGCAGCTGCTGC